TGGAGTTCACTTGTCACAAGGAGGAACTCCAGGCCCCAGCACATGGATGTTCCTGCTACCCCAGGGAACCGTCCCACCCAGAGCAAAAGAGAGTGATGCACGATGTGACCTGTGGTCACTGCACCACCACCACAGGCTACAGCCTTCCCAGGAAGAACAGGGAGGTCCACGACAGGGATGGCAGTTGGGCCTCTGCACTAGGGAGCCGGTGTCTGCAGCTAGGTCCTGCCAGCATGAGCTAAGGGTGGCAACAGCCTCGGGCCACCTTCACTATCACCCAAAATGGTTGTCTGCTGGACCAGACCGTTGTGCTTGTGCCCCTCCTGGTGGGAAGTTTTCTCCAAGTGAAAGCTGGTTCATTGAGAGAAGACCTGTTTTGTCTCATGGTATCACATCCGCTATATGCTAATGGCTTCTTCCTACCAAGACATGTATTGCTTCCTAATGTTCCTAATGGATGTGTTTTTTCTCATGAGTGCTGGTGGCTTTTGTCTATGGGGTTCTGGGGTGCAGGTGAGGGGCCAGTGTCCCTGTCCCTGAGAGTGGGTCCTAGAAGGGATGGGCATGGAGGAGGCTGACAGCGGCTTGCAGACCCACCCTCACCCTAGGGTCCCTCACTGTACCTTGTTTTCATAACCCGGTCATTACAGAGAGTCTTCAGGACTGTCAGACCCAGTGGAGACCCCAGCCCGGGGTCTGTCTCACCTCTCTTTCCCTGGCTTTCCCTCTGCCACGAACTTTGTGTGGTGGTAGGGGAGGGGTTTACAGAGGCTTCTTAGGGCTGAAATTCCCCTCGGGCTCCAGGAATGTGGGAGCCAAACAGCCTAACATGCTCAAGTGGGCCGGGAGGTTCTGGGGGTGGGGCTCTGGCCCTCGGTTCAGAGACAGAAGAGATCTGGCCCCCCTGGATACCATTGTGGGGAGCAGATGACCCTGCCCATTGAAGGCTGGGATAGATCCGGGCCCTGCTGACCCCTCTGGGCTCAGCCTAGATGCCAGGAGCACTCCCGACCCCCTGTGCATGTTTACTTGGAAGGTATCCACCATGTAACTGTTATCATTATATTAACTGTGGCTGAGTACATTCCAGAGAGCCCTAGTATATATACACAGAACCTAGTGTTTCTGTTTTTCTGGAGAACCCTGAGAAATACAGGATTATCCTTAGAGTTAATGAGTTAATACATGTAATAGTGTTAGAACAGGGAAGGCCTGGGTAGACATAGGAGCAGACACATGTCTGGATTGAGCTTCAAGGATGCCTGTTGCTCTTTGAACACACGCCCAGGATATTGGAAATACCCTCAGCAAAGGTACAAGTGCTGTTTGAGTCTCCCTCTGAAGTCAGGCACTCCTAGAGGTGGCGTGGCAGGAAGTTGGAGGCTGCTCCCATACATCCTGCTTGCATGATTCTTAATGTTGTGGTCCCAACAATGACTGCACCCCCAACTGGAAGCTAAAACTTGGTGGACAGCACCTTGGGCAGAACCTGAGCTACCAGACTCCAGATAGAGCAGCTTCCCGATAGAGAGGATCAGAGCTTCCTCTACAGAGATCTGGGTTTTTACCTGCAGAATGGAGTACATCAGAGTCAGCTTTTGGACTGATAGTGGATGGGCACTGTCATGTGAGATGTGATGCCCAGTGCAAGGCAGTAGAAGCAAATAGTTTTGCCCTAAGAGGATTCTTTCATGCTTCTGAGGGACTTCCATGAGGGCTTTGGCCATTTGGAGAAAAGACAATGTTTGAAACAAATATCACCTACTTTTTTCTCTTAAGATAGCTGAGGATATGAAATTCAGATGCAAATTGTACACCTGCCACGTTCAGCAGAAAACTGCTAACACAAGCAGCTGATGTGCAATCTATTCAAATCAGCAAGTTCATCATGCACAGCTTTCTGGTCTTTGGAAGTGGAGAGCCCGAGACTTGAGTGCAGAGTCCTGACAATTTAGTGCCTTCTACATAGGCTTATCCTATGTGGGACCAGACAATAGCCACAGTTGCCTGGATCTTGGGTAAAGAACATCTTTCTCAAAGTGTTGGTGTCCTGGGACTCCATTCCATTACAGGACATGTCCAAGAGCTGGGACACAAAAGTTCAAGAACACTCTGATCTCCAGAGGAAGGTCCCCACAGCCAGCCAAATTTATTGAACATGTGAGCAACATGGTGTGGGCAGAAAAGTCGACGAGTCAACAAGG